CTCTGTCTGCAGTTCCCCTCCAAGCAGGGAGAAGTTACTTGAGGACATTCCAGGCGTCACCAGCAGCTCGGAGCATCCCTCTGTATCGCTGGTGCTCCTGTGCAGGGGAAGCTGGAACGCCTGAGGAATTAATCATTGTTGTGGGTCTCCAGGAGAAACTGTCTCTTCTGAGGGATGGCTGCTGAAATGTCACAGCAGGAAAAGTTGGAGGGGGAGGAGGGAGAGGTGCCTTTTTATGAGCATATAAAGCAAAGAATAATTAGTACAAATACCAAATGCTGCAGCAGTGACTCACTGTGTGAGTCAGAGGAAGTCGTTCCCTCAGTCCTGTGCTGTGCTGCAGCGCTGGGGTTTGGTTTGGTGACACTGGGGTTTGGTTTGGTGACCCTTGTCCATGCTGGGCTGATTGCTGTGACCGAAGGGGCTTTGAACCAACCTTTCCATCAGGTGAATCCCGGGGCTGCAGGAGCCTCGTGAATGTCTTTGTGCAGGGGAACACCCTGGGGGACGCTCAGTGAAGGGGGGCCATGCAGAGGGGACTCCAGTGCCTGCCATGTGGGGGGAGCAGGGTCCCCAGGCCTGTGCTCTGCAGGCTGTGTGTCCCCTGTGTGTCACCTGTGTGTCCCCTATGTGTCCCCTGTGTGCTCTGCAGCTCTGCAGCTCTGCAGGCTGCGTGTCCCCTGTGTGTCCCCTGTGTGCTCTGCAGCTCTGCAGCTCTGCAGGCTGCGTGTCCCCTGTGTGTCCCCTGTGTGCTCTGCAGCTCTGTAGGCCGTGTGTCCCCTGTCCAGGGCCTGTACTCTGCAGCTCTGCGTGTCCCCTGTCCCTGCAGGTCGGCCGTACCGAGGGAAGCCCAGCGACATGTGGGCGCTGGGGGTGGTGCTGTTCACGATGCTCTACGGCCAGTTCCCCTTCTACGACAGCATACCTCAGGAGCTCTTCCGCAAAATCAAGGCTGCCGAGTACACCATCCCCGAGTGAGTACAGCCTGACCCGCCCCGAGGGGGCCTCCCTGGGACAGCTGGAGCCGGAGGGGCTCCCCTCAGTGCCCCAGGGGTCGCAGCAGTCCTGAGGACGGGCTGTATGGGGTGGGCACTGAGGAGCAGCAGCACAGCTGGGACAGCTTGTGGGGAGGTGAGGGAGGTCCCGAGCTCAGCAACAGGGAATTAACCCCGGGTTAATTTGGGGCTCTCAGGGGTAGAGCAGTGGTGGCTCCTGCAGCTCCTGAGCTGTGCTCCCAGCGCATCCACCCTGCCTGCCCCGGGCTCACCGCAGGCTCTGCCCCCCAGGGACGGCCGGGTCTCGGAAAACACTGTGTGCTTGATCCGGAAACTGCTGGTCCTGGATCCGCAGCAGCGGCTGACAGCTTCTGAAGTGCTGGACTCCCTCAGCTCCATCATAGCGTCCTGGTACGTGCAAGGGGAGGCCAGGACATGCTGTCTCTGGCCACAGGCTGTGTTGTTCCAGCTGTGGTGGACTCAGCTCACCAGGAGGAGGCTCTGGGAGCTGCAGGAAGTCTTTGCATCCCACGTCTCTACCCCTGGAGAGGCCTGTGCCAATGCTGGTGGCAGCCACGGCCATCCCAGTGGGATCACCCAGGGGCCGGTGAGGGTGGTGGAGCCGGTGCCACGCTCCAGGTGCCAACGCTGTGCTCTCCCCAGGCAGTCCATGTCCTCGCTGAGTGGCCCTTTGCAAGTGGTGCCGGACATCGATGACCAAGTGGCTAATCCTGAAAACCCCCAGGAGGTAGGTTTTCCTGCTTTCCTTTCCAAGGAACTGCTTTTCCGTGCTGCTGTGCCAAGTCTGTGTGTAATGGGAAGGGATGGCAGCCCTTGTGCCCCCGAGCTGGGAAGGGGAGGGCAGGGAGGACGTGGCCGAGTCCCTCGTCACCCTGTGCAGCGGAAGGAAAGGGTGATGCTGATGGGACTGGCAGTCACATCCAGCTGGCCGAGCTGCCTGGAAGTGACTCGCTGGCCCCAGAGCCGGGGAGGGACAGCTCAGTGCACTCCCAGCAGTGCTCACTCCCTCACACAGCTGGGAATGCTGGGAGGAGGCAGCGGGGTTGGCTCCGGCTCCCGGAGAGCTCCGCCATGGGAGCAAACATCCTGTTTTCCTGCAGCGTTTCATGCTGGAGGTGCTGCCGTGGCCTGGCTGCCCGGGGACAGCCGTGCAGGATGTGCAGCAGGGATGGGGTCAGGCAGCTGCAGCCCCAGGGCCTGGCAGGGCTGGGATGAGCTGCATCAGGACACAGCCCTGTCCTGGTGGCACCGGTGGCTCACAGGGAGTCCTGCTTGTCCCGTTCCCACACGAGCACTCCCGTTATCCCGGGGTAGCCCCAGCCTGTCGGATGGACCATGGGGCTGCGGGCGTGGCTCTGACAGCTGGGTCTCTGCAGGTGAAGGTGACAGAGGAGTGCTCCCAGTACGAGTTCGAGAACTACATGAGGCAGCAGCTGCTCTTGGCTGAGGAGAAGAACACCTTGCATGAGGCCAAGAGCTTCCTGCAGAAGCGGCAGTTCGGGAACATCCCCCCGGTGCGGCGCCTGGGCCACGACGCGCAGCCCATGAACCCTTTGGACGCGGCCATCCTGGCCCAGAGGTACCTCCGGAAATAGCTCCCCACGCCCCCAGAGCACGAGCACCACCCTGCAGTCTGCCTTCACCTCGCCTGCTCCAGCCTACAGCAATACCGGTGTCCCACGGCGGGCAATAATGTAGCAATCCCGAGCTCTGTCCAGGGACACGCACTCACACCCGCTCCCGAGGGAGAAGACTTTTGGAAAAGCTAATTTTGGAAGCAGCAACCTCTCGGCATCTTCTGGAATCTGTTTTTTAAAATCGAAGCCTAGATGACTAATCTGCTTTTAATCATGACTGTAATCTACCTCTCTTGTCTTTTTAACCATGCTGTTCTCTGGATCGAGCAAAGCTTGTGGGAAAGGAGGAGACTTCCGAGGGTGAAGCTGCCGGCACAGAGCAGCCCCGTGCAGCACCCGCTCCGTGTGGTCTGAATAAGCTTGGATTTACCAGGGTTTCTCGAAAGGAAGAATTTCTTGAAACCTCCCACTTCCCTTCATCTGCATCAAATCTGTTTCTGACCTTACGTGCCACCTGGTCTGGCCGTGCTGACCAGCCCTCAGTGGCCGTGTGGCCACCGCTGTGACCAGAGAGCCATCGGGCACTCCGGCCACCACCTCGGGCAGGAGCCAAGGAGCCATCCCGGCAGCACCAGGGGTGGGATCCTGGCCCCAGCACAAAGGTTGCACAGGACTTGGCCCTCTGGGGCCTCTGCCCCCTCTCCCACCTTTCACTGATTCCTTTGGTTCATAAGAATCTATGATTTAATCTTATTTTTCAGTAGCTTGTCCCAGGTGCAGTTACAGTTGCATTAATTCTGATTTAGCGTTTTCCCCCTCAGTTGTGGTACAGATGTAATATATGAGTTATAATGTGAAAAGCTTCCCAAAGTAATCCACCTAGAGGTAGGAAGGGGCAGGCTGAAGTCTCTACTGTATTTGTTCCCAGCTTTTCTTGCCATCCCAGCCCAAAACTGGGGGCTGCCTCTGCCCTCCCGGCGTGCCAAGGTGGGGGAAGGACGTCCTGGCTTGTCACCTGGTGCCACTGGAAGAGTTTTGGCCTGTGCTGAGAACAGGAATGATTGTTTCTGAGCCTCATTTATGAACTGGATGCCTGTCTTGCCAGATGAACTGTTCTCACACAGAGCTCCCAGGGCTCACCGTGCCAGGGCTCCCGCTCGAGGCAGCGGCTCTCTGGCTGCCTCCTTCCCTGCTCCCGGCTGCTCCCAGCCCTGGCATCACCCTCCTGCCAGCCCTGGGAGCAGGGAGGGGCAGAGCTGGGGGCTGCCCTGCTTTTTGGGGCTGTCCTGCTCTTTGGGGCCACCGTGTTCTTTGGGCCCAGCCCCCCAGCACGGGGTGCGGGCAGGGAGCGAGTAGCAGATGTTTGTAGCGCGTTGTTGCCTTCTCTTGCCCCGGGCTGGGGAAGGGGACGGGGTCTAAGCTGGGCCACTGCACAGGTGGCTTTGTGGGGACGGGGATGGACCTGAAGCCTCCCCGGCCCCGTCGGGCATTACGTCCTGCCTGCGCCTCGCCAAGGCCCCGCGGGCAGGCAGGGCTTGTGAACACTAACACAGACCAGCTCCCTGCCCCGGCCCAGCTGAGCCAGTAGCCCCAGCTCTTTCGCCTTATTTATTTTGCAGATGGTGGTTCTGTCCCTGCACGCCCCAGAGTGGGCCCATCGCCCCCTGTGCCACCAGCAGCAGGGCAGGGACCCCCTGAGCACCCCACCAGGGCCCTGTTCTCTCCTCCTGGTTCTCTCCTGCCTCGCTCCCACCTCTTTATTTGTGTCTTTTTTTTTTCCCCCAAAGTTAAAGCAAAAAGCAATATTCTGGGACTCCCTGAGGCTGTGTCACACCAGGCTCCTGTGCCCTGGGCAGCACCGGTCAATCCCACTTGTGCTAAGGCAAACTGGAAGGGGGTGGTGTGGGGGCAGGACGGGGGGGCCCAGGGGCCGCGGCGGGACAGAGCCTGTTGTAAGGAAAAAAAGAAAAAGAAAAAAAAAAGAGGAAAAAAATTTGTATAAAGACGTTATTTTTGTACTACATGGGAACTGCTCCTGCATGTCGGCAATAAAACTTCATACGAGAGCCCGGCGACCCCACGGGAAGGGGTGGGAGGGGAGGGGCGTGGGGGGCTTGGGGGGCCGATGTGCTCCGGGAGCCGCAGGGGAGTGGGGCCAGACCCACGGAGCAGCCACCGTGAGTGACCCCACGGGGACCCCCAGCCCTGTCCTGCCCCAGGGCCCTCTCCGAGCCTGTCCCTCGCTGGGGTGGCCGCTGGGGACAGTGGCGGGAGGCAGAGCCTCGTGTCCCCGAGGTCCGGCCCCGGCTCCAGGGCTGGCAGGAGGGAATCCGAGCCCCTCCGACACCTCTGCCAGGGGGGTACAGGGCGAGGCGCTGCCCACGGCGTGGCCTGGCCAGGCGGGCTTGGGATGGGGCCGGGATGGGGCCGGAGCCGCCCGCGGGTCCCGGGGGAGCGGGACGAGCCCTGGCCCCGCCGAGCCCCGGCCGGGACTGCCATTGGCTCGGGGCGCGCTGACCGCCAGCCGCCTCCAAACTATTTCCTGTTGCTGCAGCGTTAATGCTAAACAGACCTTTCTCTCTCTTCCCTCGCTCCAGCCAAAGTGCAGCGGCTCCGCCGCCTTCCCAGCCCGGTGAGTACCAACCCCGCGTGGGTTCAGGGCCGAGGGCACCCCGAGGGACCCCAGGGGCACGGCGGGTGTCGGGCTCTGCCCTGTCCCTGCTCCAGGAGCTCCAGTTTGGGGGACGTGGGGCTGGGGGACACGGGAGCAGCTCAGGGACGCGTGGCTGAGTGTGCAGGGCTGGATGGAGAGCTCAGGGCGTGGGATGCAGCCAGAGAGGACGCGGAGTGTGGTACTGGCGGATACCGTGCTGAGGGACGCAGGGCTCGGCCCTTGGGGACACAGGGCTGAGTGCCTGGGGACACTTGGGGACCCCCCAGGCCCTTCATCAGCCCTGCAGTGCCGTCACCAGCACCGTTTGGGGCTCTGGGCATCCCTGGGGCCCCATGGCGGGATTGTGCCCCTCCAACCCGCAACCTTGGCGGGGCAAGGCCGGCGATGCAGCCTCGCCACGGCGAGGGCACCCACCCCTCCTGGGGACCCTGCTGACCTTGTTTTGGGGTGTCCCACTGGAGGGGCTGCCCAGCCCCGGGATGTGCTGCAGCCCCACAACTCAGGACTGTCCGGGATGGTTCTGCTGATGTGTCACATTTTCTGCATTTCTTTCCTCATTCCTCTCTCCCTGGAGCCCTTTCTGGGAAATGAGCTCGTCCCTTGTCAGGGCCAAATTGCCTCCCTCCCTGTCCATGCCCTGCCTGCTGTCCTGCCTCCCATCCTTCCCACTGTCCTGCTGCCCATCCTGCCCGCTCTCCTGGTGACCTTTGCACTGTACCTGTCCTTGTCCCTGCACTGCCGGGCCCCACGGGAAAGGGCCAAGGCTGGAGCTGGGCCAGAGCCTTGCAGGGATGAGGACAGGGACACTGACCAGAGGGGGTGTGTGGAGCACACACATACGTGTGTGTGTAGAACACGTGTGTGTGTGTGTGTGGAGCACACATATGTGTGTGTAGAACACGTGTGTGTGTGGAGCACACGTGTGTGTAGAACACGTGTGTGGAGCACACATACATGTGTGTGTAGAACACGTGTGTGTGGAGCACGTGTGTACAGCACACATATGTATGTGTGTGTAGAACACGTGTGTGCAGCGTGTGTGTGTGCAGTACATGTATGTGGGGGGGGTCACGTGTGTGCAGCACACGTGTGCATGTGTGTTTGCAGCACATGTGTGGGGGGGTTGTCACGTGTGTGTGCAGCACACGTGTGTGTGCAGCACATGTGTGGGGTGTGTGTGTGCCACGTGTGTGCGTGTGCAGCACACGTGTGTGGTGTGTGCAGCACACGTGTGTGTGTGTGTTTGTGTGTGTGTGTGTGTGTGTGCGCGCAGCACACGTGTGTGCACATGAGCACGGGCAGTTGTGTGCTGGGATCCCGCTGTGCCCCGTGAGCCACCCCAAGGCCAGGGCAGGGGCCGGAAAGCCTGGCCCGGTGCCCCAGATCCGCCTGATGCTGCGTCCAGGAGGAGCCACATCCGTCCCGGTCCCTCAGGAAGGACGGAGGGCGGTGGAGCGGGATGGCTCCAGTTCAGCATCTGTGGGATTCCAGCCCTGGATGGAGCAGCCCAGCCCAGGAATGAACCCCTGTTGAGTGAGGAGCCCCTGGGTGGGTGGGGGGACTTGCAGGAGTTCCCAGCCTCCTGCAGAGCCTCGCTCAGCCCCTGTGTCCCGCAGATGCCGAGCGTGTGCCGTCCCTGGAGCTGCTGAGACCCGCCAGGCTCAGGATGGAGAGTCGCCAGAGGGACATGGAGCTGCTCAGCAACAGCATGGCCGCCTACGCCCACATCCGAGGTGAGTTGGGACCCCAAGGCCCCCCCAGGGCCACTGCGGGCCCTCAGCAGCGCAGGCCAGTCCCTCAGCCCTCTGCTCCCCTGCAGCCAACCCCGAGAGCTTCGGGCTCTACTTCGTGCTGGGCGTGTGCTTCGGGCTGGTGCTGACCCTGTGCCTGCTGGTGCTGCGCTTGTCCTGCCGGCCCCCCCCGCGCCCCCCGGCCCGGCCCGGCCCCGCCAGCGAGGACGAGGATGAGGACGAGGACGAGGATGAAGAGGAGGACACCATTGACCGCGCGGTGTCGGAGTCGCTGCTGCCGGTGACCGAGATCCCTCTGGAGAGCCACGGCCCCGGGGACGGGGCGCTGGCCGTGAACGTGTTCGCGTCGGCGGAGGAGCTGGAGCGGGCCCAGCGGCTGGAGGAGCGCGAGCGCATCATCCGCGAGATCTGGCGCAACGGGCAGCCCGACATCCTGGGCTCCGGCACCATCGGCACCGTCGGCACCCTGGGCCGCGTCCACTACTACTGAGCGCCCTGGCACGGGGCCTGCTCCCCTGGCAGCTGATCCCAGGCCGTGCCAGGAGGGACCAGCAGGACATGGGGGCTGCTCACGGGCCCTGCCCTGGGCTGTCCCTGCAGCAGGGACAGCCGGACCACGGTGCCACAGGCACAGCCAGGGCTGGACTCTCCCGCCCCACCGCGGGACACGATGCACTTTGAGCCATTGGTACGACGGCTGGCACCAGCCAAGAGCCCCAGGACATGCAGGGACAGGGACATGGACGGGGCTGACCTTGATGGCCCATCTCAACAAGGATGGGCAGGGGTCACCCCATGGGGCAGGGCTGGGCTGTGGGTCCGTGTGAGCCCTGGGGTCCTGCCCCACAAACATGGTGCTGTTGTACACGAGCTGGAGCCCAGCGTGGTGGGGTCCTGAGTTTTGGGGGGCCTGGATGCCAGGACGGCCTCAGCCCCTCCCCGGGCCAATTCCCTCTTGGCCCCACTAAATTTAGCCGGATCCTTTCCGGCACCGCCCGCCGTGACCCAATGTCCTCCCGGCGGGACCAGGGCGGATGTTCCCGCTGGACTCTGGGATGGCCGCTGCTCCCCAGGGATGTGGCTGCTCCCACCAGGCTGAGCTGCATCCTGCCCTGCTCCCAGCCCCAGCACAGCCCCACAGGGTGCAGGGGCCCCACAGCCCCCTCCCCAGCTTTATAAAAATAGCTTCTTCCCAGGCTGGTCCCCCCTGCCGCCAGCGCCAGCAGGATCCAGATGTTTTCCAGATGTTCTTCAGTGGCTGGAGGCCAGGATGTGCTGGGCCTGGGAGTGGGGCTGGCCTGGGAAACTATGCGGGGGCTGGAGGAGGAGGAGGAGGAAGAGGAGGCCCTGTCCCAGCCTTGCTGCGGGCCCTGGTGGGACCCCCTGTGCCCAGCAGGACCTGCCCACAGGGACATGGCAGCCCCCAGCAGCTCCCTGAGGAGCCCCCACACAGAGATCCGTACCCAAAATAGTTTATTGTAAACAATTCCTATACACTCGGGCTACTGTGCCACAGGGAGCAGTACCTGGGCACAGGGTGGGCATTTTGTGCCCAGTGGGTGCAGATCCAGGCTGGGGGCAGCAGGGTTGGGGGGCACAGGGCACCATGTGCCCCCCACCTGCCCCGGGTGCAGCCCCCGCCACGCTAACAGGGCAGCCCCTTCCTCACCCGCTCGATCTCGGCCTGTGGGGAGAGGCTGTGAGTGCTGGGGGGCACAGGGGACCCCGGGACAGGGCAGCCCCTGGCAGGACTCACCTGCAGCGCCTGGCGCTGGCTCCGCTCCTGGCACAGCTCCAGCCGCAGGTCCTGCAGGTCCCGCCTGCAACGCCCGGACGGCTCAGCCGGGGCCAGCCCGGCAGGGAAGGGCCGGAGCCGCTGGGACCCCCACACCCATCCCCACTCACAGGTGCTGCACTCGCATCAGGTCCACGAGGATGTGCAGGGTCCGCACCTCGGCCTTCAGGTCCTGCAGGGCCAGCAGCCTCCCCTCCGGCCCCTCCGGCCCCTCCGCCTGCCCCGCGCTGGGGACAGGGGCACAGAGCCCGGCATGGGGCGGCCCCCAGGGCTGCTCCTCCCCACAGGGCCCCCCCGCGCTCCCCAGGACAAGGCTGGGTGGCCGCTGGCCGGGGACCCGTGGCCGTGTGGCCGTGGGGTGGCTCAGCCTGGCCGTGGTGACTGACACCGCGTTGAAGCCGTCGGCATCTGCCAAGGAAAGAGCGGGAATCGGTGCCTGGCACTGGGGGGGGGCCGACCCCCCTGCACCCACCCTGTGTGGCCACTGCACCCTACCTGGGTCACCGGTTCTGCCCCGCCCCGTGTCAGCCGTGGCGCTGGGCTGGGGGTCACCAGACCTGGGGACAGCAGAGGTGTGAAATGGCACAGCCAGTCCTGCTCCAGGGCCCAGACATGGCTGTGGGCACGGCCCCGATGCTGGGACATGGTGGTGGCTCCAGACATCCCAGCACGGCCACAGTGTCTTACTTGGTGGCCAGCACAGGGACTGGTTTGGCCTTGACAGGGACAGGGGGAGCAGGAGCCATCCTCTTGGTGAGCGGGAGCTTGGCCGGTTCCATCCTCAGCAGCGCTGGGAGCTCTGGGGAGAGGAGGCAGGAGCAGGGCTGGGGCTGGGACCAGCACTGCCAGGCACGAGCGGGGCAGGAACCTCTTCCTGCCCTGGCATGGGAGGCCTGTCCCCAGCACATCCCTGTCCTTCCCTCTCTCCCAGCCCAGGACTCACCTGGGGGCTCCCCGTCCTCAGGCTCCCTGTCCTTCGCTGTGGTTCCAACTGCCAGGGAGCAAAAGAGCTCCTGAGGCACCGGGGAAGGACCCTCTCCCAGCCCCACACCAGCCCCACACTGGCCCCGCTGCGGGCGGCGCTTCCTCTGTGCGCGGCAGAGCAGGCGAACCACGGGCACGACGTCATCCCCCCACCCCCGGCACAGCAGCATCCCTGTCCCACCGGGCCCTGGGGGCACAGCAGGGCAGGCCCACCAGCAGGGTGGGACACAGGGCACCAGGCCGTGGGCGTGTGCCAATGGGCCACCCTGTTCTCATGCCCAGCCCCGGAGCAGCTCAGCCACACACAGTGATGCTGTTGGGGTGGTTCCCACACACAGGACCCCCAGAGCAGCTGCGTCTCCCTCCTACCTGCCCTCCTGCTCCCTCCTACCTCTGCCCACGAGGTCGAGCCGTGCCGTGCCGGGCTCCCCTGGCCCACACTGCGCATGTGATGCCAGAGGAAATCGGCTCCGTGCTGGGAAGGAAGTCGAAGCAGAGAGAATCTCGGTGCTGGTCCACACCACATCCCTGTGCCCCACGGGGCTCTTCCTGCCCCTGGGCTGCCTGAGCCAGGTTGGGGTCTCAGCCTTGGCATCACGGACCCTGAACCCCGAACGCTGGGGAGAGTCAGGGCTGGCACAGCACAGAGCGAGGCACCTGGGCAGGATCCCAGCTGGCCCTGGGTGACAGCTCAGAACCAGGACAGGATCCCAGTTGGCCCTGGGTGACAGCTCACAGCCACCCGGGGCTCGCAGTGCTTCTGTCACCTTGGGCTGCAGGGGAAGTGAAACCCAAACCGCGGAGGGGCCGAAACCCACAGACAGTGAGCACAGGGGGTGCTGTGGCTGCGGTCCCTCCGCAGGGCCAGGTCAGTGTGACACTGTGACACCGCTGCTGCCGGCCCGTCCTGGCCAGCACCGAGCCCAGGGGCCAGCACAGATACTCCTTTTTTGGCCAAACGCATCTGATCCAGCAATGCTGAACCCAAGCAGGGGTTGGGGATCGACCACGGGCAGAGAAGGGCAGTGCAGTGGAGGTTCCATCACTGCAATTCCCAGGTGTGACCCCTGGGAGGGAGCTGGGAACACCGGGCACCCCTTTCCCCAGGTTGGCTCGAGGTCAAGGTCGAGGGGAAGCAGCAGCTGTTAATCCACATCCCTGTCCCAACAGCTCTTGGCTGTAACCCCACAGTGCTGGGAAAGCTGCTCTGCCCTGGGCAGCCCTGGACCCGCCCCAAGGCCACACACCCAGCACCCAGCTCGGCTGCGGGCAGGGACAGAGCTCCTCCCGGGCAGGGGTGACGCAATCCCTGCTGGCAACAGGCCTGGGAAGGGCCCACGGCTGTGTCACCTCTGTCCCCAGGCAATTAGTGCCAAAACAGGGGCTGAAAGGTCTATTAATGCATAAAAGCCAACAGGGAGTTGTTTCAGTACCTGAGTCAGGCCTTGACAAACCCCTGGTTTGTGCCCCTGCTGCTCTGTGACAGTTGAGGGCACCCGGTTGGGCTTCCCCTTCCATCCCTGGTGTCCCTCCAACCTCTCCTGCAGGCCCCTCGTGTCCCTCAGCTCCCCTGCAGCTCCAGGCACTCAGGTCCCTTGGCCTCTCCCGGCGACTCAGGACACAAAGCAAGCAGAGTTACACCTACTACGTATTTTATTGTATTTTATTTGCATAAACAAACTTCGGGGCTTTGCTAAACAGGAACTGTTCAAGTCAAAACAAACCAAACTCTAGCTGGTGTGTGGGGAACAGCACAGCAATCCTGGGGAGGGGGACAGGGGAGCGCGGGCACGGCTGTGCCTCCCCGCCCAGGCTCAAACCCGGCCGGGAGCCATCTGCAAACTGCTCCAGAAGACTTTTAGAGTAGAAGATAAAAAGAAACACCATCCTAAGGGCTGTCCTCAATCAGCTCAGGAGGGATCTGCCTTTTGGTTTTATAAAAAGATTAATAAAAAATATTGAAAAATTCTCATCTCCATTTATATTTTTCCCCAAGTAGAATTCGGAAGTTCCTTAGAAAACTGTCATCTTGGAAAGGGCACTCGGGTCACAACCAGCTGCAGGGAGGAGACACAAATGCTACAAGCAGTTTGGGGTTCAGCACACACCAGGCCTAACAGTGAACACAAACAGTGGCCAGAAGTAGGGTGTATTCTTTTTTTCTCTTTTAAACCATGCTAATTTTGTTAACTTCCAACATAAAAGGAAAACAATAATTTTTAAAAGGCCCTAAACTCAACTGTTACATAAAAAAAAAGTTTAAAAAAAAAAAAAAAAAATCATAGCAGTTTGGTCCCAACAAGTGAATATTTAGATGTTTACTCACATGCTTCATTGTTTTCTTATTTATAAGAACCAAAAATAGTTTCCAAAATTATCTTTGAATTGATGTTGCTACGTATGTAAAGGCCTAAAATAAGCAGAGTATGAATTTAGAAAACTGAATACACAATAGGGGAGGAAAATTTGAGCGGGTGAGCGAACCCCGACCGTCACTGGGTCAAATTAGAAAAGAGAAACAAAGGTCAGGACTGGTGGGGTCAGGTGGGCACAAACCGAAACCACATCGTCCTCAACGCCCATTACCAAAAAATAACCGACCGTCCATAAGGTCACAGAGAAGGGAAAATCCGGGATCTCACCCAGTGCTTGAGACCGTATCCAGTCCAGAGGGGAAGTCTTTGGGAAGAGAAACTCCAGGAGTGGATCCGAGCATAAATGATGGGTCAGTGAGTCCCAGCCCGTGCCTGGGGAGGCTGAACTCTGGCAATGCGGTTCACTAACGTCGGGATCGCTTCCGAGCTCCTCTCCAGGGCCCTGCTCAGCCCCTGGGGATCCCCCTGGCACCGCAGCACCAGCCCGATCCCCCCTCCCGCCGGGGCTCCCAGAGCCGCGCGGGCCCCGCGGCTACTCAGCCGCCGTCTGCAGGTTGTCCTTCTCCTCCCGGTTCTCCGTCCCGCTTTCGTCGTCCTCGATCTCCCCTTCCTCCCCACTGAACTTGTCGTGAGCCCACTTGGGGCTGGTGCTGGACTTGCGGAACATGAAGCGGCCCCGGCCCCGGGGGAAGGCGCCACGGCCACGGCCCCGGCTC